TTTTTTTGAGATTTCCATCTCTATTTAACTCCTCATTTTGTCTGTGTATTATTTTCCTGATTTACTAAATTTTCTGTTTTATTGTAGCTCATTGAGCTTCCATAGAAAAGCTATTTTGAATTCTTTATTGGATAAATTGCAGATCTCCATGTCTTTCTTACTACAAGATTATTGTGATCCTTTGGTAGTGTCATAGTTCCTTCATTTTTCATGTTCCTTGAAATTTTGCATTGCTATCTTCACATTTGAAATAGCAGCTACCTTAAACCAATTTTACTGATTGATATTGGGTGAGAAATACTTTCCATCTGTCCTGCTAGGGATTCTGAGGCTTTCACAGACCTTCTATGGATACACCTGCTCTGTGATTCTGGCTCCCACATGTGACAGAATTCAGGAGCACATATGTCTTTTCTCCATCATGTAACACACTAGGCCAGGTGTTAACAGCCTCCCATTTGATTTCCCAAGGGTGATGCTACTTGAGGTCTCTCCCTGGCTCACAAACTCTGGCTGGCTTTCTGCACAAGCTCACTAGCCTTCTGTGAGAGGTGGCTCTCACTGCCTTCAGCAACACACCCAGAGATCCAGCTACAGGATGGTGGAGAGTGTGGCTGAAGCACATGGAGCACCAGGGGTGCCTGTGGGCCAGTGGGGGACCCACAGGCTAAATATCTCTAGGGATTTGTCGGCAGTCTTTTTCATTGAGTCTATGATGTGGTTAGTAGGGTCTGTTTGCGTGTAACGCCCTCTAAGAATCCTATCTGCTGCTCTCTCAGCCTCTTCCTGCCTCCGTCATTCAGCTCACAACTCAGTACTCTGGATGGAGCAAGAGAGAAATGGGCCTCTTTGGGAGCATCCTGTGATGCTGGGAAACACAGTACCCCTTCATATGCCCTCACTTTTCCCTGCATTAGAAATCAAGGGTGAGAAAGTCTCTCTTGGCACTGAGCTGTGCCACCTTGTGGAAAAGGTGACATGAATACATCAAACTATTCCTCTTACCCTCTTCAACATTCAAACTTGTATAATTTTTGCTCCAATAGCATGCTGGAATTTCTGCACGGGACTTCTGGACTTCCCCCAAGGCTTTCTCATCTATAGGTGATTATCTAAAACAAGTGTTTTCCAGTGGACTCTAGACTGCAGCTGAGTGGGGCTGGAGCCAGCTCATAGGCCACTGCAAGGTCCACAGACAGGACACAGGTCTGTCTGCCTATTACCCAATGCATGGGTGGGTAACATTCCTCCCAGGTCCCTTGGTATGTGGGGCTGGATCCCACAGCTCCCACAAAGGCACTTCATCCATGTATGGATGCCAAATTGTTCTTGAGATGAGCATACAAAGAAAATGACATCTTATAGGGCCATCTAGCTGATGTGTGAACTCCCTTTTTTGTCTTTTTAGCATTTTTAAAAATATATTTCTTTCTTTATTTGCCTGCACTGGGTCTTAGTTGCAGCAGGTGAGACCTTTAGTTGTGGCATGCAGGATCTGATTCCCTGACCAGGGATAGAACCTGAGCCCTGCACTGGGAGTGCAGGGAAGTCTTTGCAACTCCCTTTCAATACCAAGATACTGTTATACTAAAATGACTGTAGAGATATAGTTCATGGACAGTTGTTTGTAAAGTTGGGGAAGACAGGGGAAAATAAGTGATGTATGTTATCCAGAGCATCCCATAAGCCCTGAGAAGAATTTAATCTGTGGCAGTCTTCCAGGGAGACAGTCTTGGAAAATAAACATTGAGCATCAGGGCTGGCCCTGTACTATTTAACTTATTCTTGTACTCTTAATGAAAGCAGAAGGCAAATGAACAATCCAATTTTCTTTTAGAACAACTTCTGTTCAACAGTGAGTGAGATGAAAGATGAGCATATTTTTCAGAGGTCAATCATATGCCATTCGTAGCTGCAAGCTACAAAGATAAAACTCCTTGGGCTAACTGAAGTTCTCCCCATCCCTAAGAATAGAAATATCTCACTTTTTTGATGAAGAAACTCTGCAACCAAAGCTGCTATGTGGACATAACATATTGCTGCCTGAAAAAGGAGAAAAAGAAGGAACCTCCCAGGGGTCTGGGAGGGCTTTAGTTTAGAACAAAGTCATAAGTAGTCACCACTGAAAAATCTCCATTTTTTATATGAATCTTGGCCATGCTATCAAGCTAGGTTTTCCTGAGCTCTGGGGTACTTGCATAGGACTTGGCTAAGCTATACTGGAGATCAATTAGCATTTCGGGGTCCTTCTCATGCTCCTTCATTTAAGCTGTGGCCATAAGAACAGTTCGGATTCTCTTGGTCAAGTCTTTGACTTCTGAGGGAAAAGCAGTTGCCCAACATCAAAACAAACAAAAAAGACGTATTTATCAATATGGTCTAAGCCTAAGCAGCCCATCTTGGGAATAACAGAACTTTTACCCCTTGTCAGAGTTCTTAGTATTTGGTTCTTGGTTCTTGGCAGGTGGGCATGCCTAAAGAGTTTTAAATTAACTCTTTAAAAAAATATTCTACTATCTCAGGCTTCAAAGGCACTGAGTTTGATGGCAGTATATTCCTAACACATAAAAGCACAGACTCTGGAGCCAGACTACCTGGTTTTGGACCCCACCTCCTCTGCTGTCAATTCGATTGCCATGAAGGTAATCCATATTAGCCTTTATTGTTTAATTTTAGTTACAATAGTAACTAAAAATTGATATCTTACTATGTACCAAGCAGTGGCCTGGGCACTTTACATGTTTTAAACTTTATAACAACATTATGAATTAAGTACTATTATAATTCATTTTACCCATTGGAAAACCAATGTACACAGCAGTTATGTAGTTTGGCCAAAGTTGCAAAGTTGGTAAGTGGTAGAGACAGGACTACCACTCAGGCAGTTGGGCTACAGAGTTCATGACCTTAGTCACTCTTCCATCTAACAACTGCCATATGCATTAATGTGAAAACCATAATGTAGACATTTCCAATTATGCAAATAAGAGTTTATGAATCACAGAACACTTGAAGAGTTTAAAGAGATCATTACTTCCTCTTAAAGCATTGCTTTTGTCCTCAAAAGCACAAAGTTAGAGTTTCCTCTTTATCAGTCCTATGGCTTCCTATTCACTCCATCAGAGTAATCACAATTATATGTAGGGTTCTGAGAAGAGGAGTAGGGAAAAGTACAGGCCTTAGGGAGCTTTTTAAAGTGAATACCACCAAAGGTGGAGAAAATTATATTCAAAAGTGTCTTCTTTAAAGATGACTTTTAAAAATGATTATCCATATGTGTGTGTGTGTGTGTGTGTGTATACATACACATGTGTATATATATATATATATATATATATATATATAAAGTCTCTTCTTATACATTAGTAGAGATTTCATTTACTGGGAGAAAGCTATACCTTTGTTGTAATAGAGTTTATTGGTAATGATTGCCCTACCAGAATAAAACTGTTATCTCACAAGTGAGTCATGAAAAAGATTTCCTATCAAGGAGGTCTAAAACAGACCCCATTTACTTTGAAAAAGTTGGTAGTCTAATTTTTATTCAACATGGAATTAAGGATGGTAGAAAACTAGGAAAATAAACTCTTAGGGTATGAGTAAAAGATTCTAAATGACATAAGCTATGTCATTTGTGCTCTTGGGATTAGTTGGAGCATATACTGATTTCTTAGGGAACCAGTAGAACTGGCTGAAAAGCAAACTTTCCCAGCCCGAGAATGGCTGGTACTATCCAGTGTTGTTTTTGTGTGTGTGTGTGTGTGTGTGTGTTTTTTGTTGTTGTTGTTGTTGTTTTTTCAGTCTAAGCAACATTCCTATGGGAATATATTTTGGTACAAAGATTCAACATGTCCCAAACATCAAGTATGCTGTGACTGTGAACTTTTTTTTCCCAGATTTTACGCAAGTTGTCAAATTATGCTGGAAGATGACCTTTCCCAAGAATGGGGATGATTCCTCTGGGAGGAAACGTTCTCTATTGGCAAAGGAATCTTCTTCCCTTGTACACATACATCACTGAAGAACAGAACCTACTCTCATGTAACAAAACAACAAATGAACTTTTACAATGTTTTAGGTTTTAAGTACATGGGTAGGAAAGACTAATGGTATTCAGGGTCGTGGGTTTGGCCTCAGCCAACTGTCGCCTAAGAATGACAGCCTTGGACGTGGGTTTGCCAATAAGTATCTCTGGCAGGCCCCAGTTAATAGATGATTCTTTAAGCTCAGAAAATCTTCAAGTAATGAATCCCTTCTGTGCCATTCCTCATCTGCTGGCAAAGGATCAGGCAACTGTTGCTGCTGCTGCTGCTGCTGCTGCTAAGTCGCTTCAGTCGTGTCCAACCCTGTGCGACCCCATAAACGGCAGCCCACCAGGCTCCGCCATCCCTGGGATTCTCCAGGCAAGAACACTGGAGTGAGTTGCCATTTCCTTCTCCAATGCATGAAAGTGAAAAGTGACAGTGAAGTCGCTCAGTCGTGTCTGACTCTTCACGGCCCCATGGACTGTAGCCTACGAGGCTCCTCCATCCATGGGATTTTCCAGGCAAGAGTACTGAAGTGGGTTGCCATTGCCTTCTCCGCAGGCAGCTGTTAGCTACTCTAGTAAATGAAGTTTTGTGAAATTTCCAACTCAGTGCTTAATTAGCCAATCTTATAAATGGTAAAAACGGTTGAGAAAAAAAAACCCATTTCTTTTCTAAGTAAGTTTAAATATCAAGCCCAGAAAAAAATTCAAATCATATCATAATTATGTATACACAGTATAGTCATTTCATTCACCCATTCAACTAATACTGAACATTTACTGTGTACCTGGCAGTGTTCTAGGTGCTAGAGGTACAGGGATGTACTAGACAAAGCCTTGACTCGTGAAGCTCACATTCTGTACACTTGATACTATATAAAAGTTGTGAATCCAGTGCAGAGTTTACCTTGAGAAGTGAAACTCCCCTGACAGTGAACATGGTTCTAATTTTTCACTTAAAGTGAGAACATACCTTCATAGGTCTGTCACTGTTTGCAAAGTTATTGATAATGAATAAAGACTCCTGAAATCTCGATCCTCCACTTAGTGCTACATCTGCTATCAGTTGGCTTACAGCAATTATTATCTGTGGAGAGAATAATGTCTTTTTTCCAATGTCATTTTTCAAATGTCTTTTGAATACATGCTGCTTGTTTTCATCAATGTACAAACCCATAAGCACTCGTACAAAATGCTTCTTTTAAAGATTTTACAGAGTTCCATCAAAATCTATTTTCTTCCTACATGAGTGGTTTAAATTCTTCTATTGAAACAGCAACTTTAGGGACTTGCCTGGGAGCTCAGTGGTAAAGAATCTGCCTGCCAATGCAGGAGACATGGGTTCAATCCCTGGCCCAGGAAGTTCCCACATGCCACGAATCAAGTAAATCTGTGCCACAACTATTGAGCCCACATGCCACGGCTACTGAAGCCTGAGCATCCTAGAGCCCATGCTCTGCAACAGTAGAAGCCAATGCAATGAGAAGCTGGCACAACAATGAAGAATATCCCCTGCTTGCCACAACTAGAGAAAGCCTGCACAGCAATGAAGAACCCAGCACAGGCAAAAATAAAGAAAAAACATTTTTAAAAAGCTAACGACATAGCAAACAAAGCAACTGACAAAGAATTAATCTCAAAAATATACAAGCAGCTCCTGCAGCTCAATTCCAGAAAAATAAAAGACCCAATCAGAAAATGGACCAAAGAACTAAACAGATATTTCTCCAAAGAAGATATACAGATGGCTAACAAAACATGAAAAGATACTCAACATCACTCATTATCAGAGAAATGCAAATCAAAACCACAATGAGGTACCATCTCACGCCAGTCAGAATGGCTGCTATCAAAAAGTCTACAAACAATAAATGCTGGAGAGGGGGTGGAGAAAAGGGAACGCTTTTGCACTGTTGGTAGGAATGCAAACTAGTACAGCCACATGGAGAACAGTATGGAGATTCCTTAAAAAACTGGAAATAGAACTGCCATATGACCCAGCAATCCCACTTCTGGGCATACACACCGAGGAAACCAGATCTGAAAGAGACACGTGCACCCCAATGTTCATCGCAGCACTGTTTATAATAGCCAAGACATGGAAGCAACCTAGATGCCCATCAGCAAACGAATGGATGAGGAAGCTGTGGTACATATACACCATGGACTATTACTCAGCCATTAAAAAGAATTCATTTGAATCAGTTCTAATGAGATGGATGAAACTGGACCCCATTATACAGAGTGAAGTAAGCCAGAAAGATAAAGACCAATACAGTATACTAATACATATATATGGAATTTAGAAAGATAGTAACGATGACCCTATATGCAAGACAGCAAAAGAGACACAGATACAAAGAACAGTCTTTTGGACTCTGTGGGAGAAGGCGAGGGTGGGATGTTTTGAGAGAATAGCACTGAAACATGTATATTATCATATGTGAAACAGATCGCCAGTCCAGGTTCGATGCATGAGACAGGGTGTTCAGGGCTGGTGCCCTGGGATGACCCAGAGGGATGGGGTGGGGAGGGAGGTGGGATGGGGGGTTCAAGATGGGGAACACTTGTACACCCATGGCTGATTCATGTCAATGTATGGCAAAAACCACTACAATATTGTAAAGTAATTATCCTCCAATTTAAATAAATAAATTAATTTTAAAAAGCTAATGACAAAGTCATATCATAAAAAAAAGAAATAGCAACTTTAGTAAAGTTTCAGGATACAAAATTAATACACAGAAATCCCTTGCATTCCTATACACTAACAATGAAAAATCAGAAAGAAAAAATAAGGAGCACCTCCACTCATTACTTCAACAAAAAGAATAAAACACCTAGGAATAAACCTACCTAAAGAGACAAAAGACTGAAATGCAGAAAACTCTAAGACACTGATGAAAAAAATCAAACAAAACACAAATAGATGGAGAGATATACCATGTTCTTGGATCACAAGAATCAATATTATGAAAATGACCATATTACCAAAGTCAATCTACAGATTCAATGCAATCCCTATCAAATTACCAATGGCATTTTTCACAGAACTAGAACAAAAAATTTTACAATATGTATGGAAACACAGAAGACCCCAAATAACCAAAGCAATCTTGAAAAAGAAAAATGGAGCTAGAGGAATCAACCTTGCTGACTTCAGACTATACTACAAAGCTACAGTAATCAAGACAGTATGGTATTGGCACAAAACCAGAATTATAGATCAATGGAGGTTCCTAATTTCAAATTTTATTAGGACTTTGTTGGTTTGATGTGGAAAAACTTTTGAAACACATAGCACATCTAGATCTGAAACCGTTTTTATAATCAGTGAACTGATACAATGGTGGTCAGGTATTTACCTTCAATACATTTGCTAGCAAGTAGTTTTAGCAAAATTGGGAATAAAGGACATTTCTTTGATGATTTCTCATTTCTTTTCACTAGTCTTTCTCAATGTGCTAGACTTCCAACTCCAGTATCTCAGCTCGTTTCTTTGTTTCTGACTAGGGCCTATCTAAACAGTTTAGATAGTAGTATATGTTATAGCATATACACTACATAATGGTAACAGTATAATGCCATGTAATGGTGCTTTTAGGCTTCACCGTTGGCTCAGCAGTAAAGAATCTGCCTGCAATGAAGGAGATGCAGGAGATGTGAGTTTGATCCCTGGACCCTGGAGGAAGGCATGGCAACTCATTTGGCTAGAGAATCCCATGGAGAGAGGAGCCTGGAGTTCTGCAGTCCACAGGGTCACAAAGAGCCCAGACACAACTGAAGCAACTGAGCATGTATGCATGGTGCTTTTTAATCTCTCAGGCTCCTTTTAATGAATGCTTATATGATTCAGGCTAAAGTGTTTCTGGCCAGAAGCTTTACCCCTGATCTGAGAAGCAAGATACTATAGGAGTTGCGTGCAAGCTCTTGTGTCCAAGTGCCCTAGATTCAAACTTTGACTTTATCAATTATTCACTGAATGGCTTTGAGAAAGTGAATTAACCCTCCTGTGTCTCATTTTCCTTAAAGGCAATATAGGGGTAATAACAATACCTACATTATAGAGTTGTTACGAGGATTAAAGAGATCATACTCACAATATTACTACTTAACCAGTTTATTGAGCACTTAGACATGATTCTAAGTCTGCAATTTATTAATTCATTTTACTTGAATATAGGACCTGAGAGAAGTTGATGTTTCAACCCAGAAGGATGGACCTTAATGGGGAAGTTCAAAAAAATCAGCACACTAATTGCAGAAATGCTTTGAGGGAAGGTGGTACTCAAGTGACATCTCTATGAAAGCAAATATTAGGTACTCTAATATATAATGTTAGACCTAGTATCCAAAAACAATTAGATAGATTTTCAAAGAAAGCATATACTTCTATCAGATTTTCACATCACTGATGACGTTTCTAAAAAGCTACTTATGGCCATTTCCTCATTTATAACCCAGTCTCCAATAAACAACTGCAATGGGACTGACCGTGGCAGTAAAGACAGAAATATGATCAAGCATTTCCATATTACAACTGAGCCAAGAACTCCCAACTGTGTTTTAGTTCAGACCTGTTTCATCACATAAGCAAAAAATTATAGAGATGTTGAATAACAACTGCCACATACTAAGTGTCTGTTATGAGCTAGGCATTTTGTACCTGGCACTACACACACTTTACTTTTATCCCTCATGACAAACCCTGCAAGCTGAAACATACTTGGCCTTATTTTCCAGATGAGGCAAATAGTTAAGATGAACTGAGGTAAAATCCCCAGGGTCACATATTAAGTAAGTAGCTAAGCTGTGATTTAAGTCCAGGTAGGTCTGATTCTAAAGTCCATGTTTTCCACTAAACCTTGAGACTTCTCTCATTATTTTTAACTAACTGGCCATGCTGGAGATGAAAAACACAAGTACTTCATTTGTTACTTACTCATCTTGTTTAATCCTCACCAAAACCATTCAAAGTGGGTAGGGATATTTACTAGTGTTTTACTTATGAAGCATCTGAGCTACTAAGAGACTAAAGAAGTCCTTGCCAAGGTCACACAGTGTGTGATACTCATGGAATCTGGAATCTATGCTCTTAACACCTCTGTTCTCAAGCAGTGTTGTCCAGTAGAAACAGGATATGAGTCATATGTGTAATATTAAATTGTCTAGCACCCACATTAAAAAGTAAAAAGACACAAGTGAATTTTGATTTATTTTACTTAAACAAATATATCCAAAATATCATTTCAACATATAGTCAATATAAAACAATTGAGATATTTTACTTCTTTGTACTTAGTCTTCAAAAGTCAAGTTGTCTTGAATTCAGACTAGCCAAATTTTAAGAGCCAGATGGCCAGCTGTGGCTAATAGCTTTGTATTAGACTGGGGAGCTCTAGATCTTAATGTAGAGAGGCTAAAGATTGAACAGAAGAAAGAGAAGCTTCGGTTTTCACTGACCTGCAGATGTGTCCTTAAAAAGGTTTTCCTTTTGGTGTACTCAAAGTTGTTTCTCATCAGAAGATACAAAAGTGCAGAGGCTTCATTCCTGGTTGAGCTTATCTTTGACGTGCAGCACTTTAAAACCTCATAGCAAAATGCAGCACACATGTTTACCCTTCCTTTGAAAAAGGCCAAGGGAAACTAAACAATAGGAAAAGCATAAATAAGTATCTGAAGATCCTATCACAGAAGTCAATCAACAATCAAATGCCTACTCTATTCTCCCTAAAACTATGCTGGGTGCTTTGAGGATACAAAATCAACATAAGGTTAGAGTACTGCTCTGGAGAATCCAAGATAGTTAAAAACATAAAGACCAGCATGTATTAATGACAGAACAATGCAAGTCAGTATACAAGTCTACAAAAATGTGAGATACTGTCTACAAATGCCACAGATCTAATAAGACTTCATGATGGTCTGGGAAAGAAGATAAGTAGGTTTTCAATGATATGTATTAAATCAATGAATGATTAAAATGATGACTGACAGGTCTCAATTTGGGCCTTAAAAATGGGAAGGCCAATCTGCATTACTTACTCTTTTGCTTTATATTTAAACAGTTCCTTATATTATAAACTTCCAAATGCTAGGAAAATTATATCAAGAATCTATTCAGCAAATAAAGTTGATCTTTTAACAAAATGGAGTATAGATGAAGTGTAAACACACAAACATAAACATGTGCCTCCTCTACTCATAAACAGTGTTGAATAAAATATAGTTTGGCATAGAAAAAGTACAAAAGTGACTATCTAATCCTCAAAACAGGCAAGTGACTGCTACTTTTGGAATGTATTCAGTCTGCTTTGTGGAATATAAGCTATACATAGAACATAGGCTTATTGCAAACTTCCATGCTCACATGTCTAGGCAAGTGTTACTAAGCTGCTCCAGGGTACACAATGGATATTTTCAGGGAGTGTGAAGCTAGATTCTTTCAAAATCATTCTCAGGAATCTTGGATTTAAACACATATTATAGGAATCAATGTAAGGCTAGGGCCTTATTTCAATATTATTTCTCAGAAATATTGAATTTAAGCCCATATTATAGGAATCTATCTTCTTTTTATCACCTTAACACTTAAGTACAATGCTTATTACTGTTTATGCTTCTTCATTTATTAATGAACATTTAATAAATGTTTTCTAGCTGGCATTGAAAAAATCTCATCAATGGTATCACCAGATTAAATAAATCTTGTTGGGCAAGATACACCTGTATGAAAATACAGGAAAGGAAGCACAGTGGTAGAGTAGTTAATCTGCTATAGGAAGTCTTCTATTTATCACTTCTCTGAGTGGGCAATGACCAAAATATTCAATGACCTTGTAATTGCCAATTTTGATGGACTCCCTTTCCACCTTATCTTATTAGGCCACTCTGTACTGTATAATAATGCTGATACTGTCTTCTCCTTTGGCTTCTGTGATAGCCCTCTTTCTTGCCTTTCTTGCTATTTTTGTGACTGCTCCCTTTTATCTCCTCCATAGATTCCTCTTTCAACCCCTTCTATCTTGCTTTTCTCCAATTTATTGCTCTTAACTTTTTGCTGTTGTTCTTGCTCTTCCTGTACAGACTCTCCAGGGGAACTTAAACCACTCCCATGGTTTCAACTGCCATGGGTATGCTGATGATCTCCCTAACTCACTCCGTTCCAGCTAAACTGAACTTTCAGTTCCCAGAATTTCAAGCGCTATCCCTTCTCCCTAGGATGTTTTTCCTTGAGCTTTTCAAACAGTTGGCCCCTTTACATATTTCAGGTCTCATTTTAGAAGTGACAAACCCGTATTCCAACTATATGACATTCTGGAAAAGGCAAGACTGGGGAGACAGTAAAAAGACTGTTGATTACCAGGGGGTGGTGGGGAGGGGAGTGGTGAATTGATGGAGATTTTTAGGGCAGTTAAAATACTTTGTTTGATACTAAGATGGGTACATGCCATTTGTCCAAACCTACGGGATATGCACCAAGAATGAAACTTAATGTTCACTGTGCTCCTTGTTGTTTAGTTGCTAAGTCGTGTCTGACTCTTTTTGCAATCACATGGGCTTTAGCTTGCCAGGCTCCTTTGTCCATGGGATTTCCCAGGCAAGAATACTGGAATAAGTAGCCATTTCCTTCTCCAGGGGATCTTCTAAGCCCAGGGATCGAACCTGCATCTCCTGCATTGGCAGGTGAGTTCTTTTTACCACTGAGCCCCCAGGGAAGCCCACGTGCAAGATTATGTGTCAATGTAAGTTCATCAATTGTAATGGATGCAGCACTCTGGTGGCAGATGTTGATAATGGGGGAGATTGTATGCATCTACGTGGAGGTGGAGATATATAGGAAATTTCCGTATTTCTCATTGGATTTTGCTGTGAATTTAAAACTTGTTTCAAAACATAAAAGTCTTAATTTAAAAAGTTAAAATATAAAAATGAGTGACAAACCCATCAAAAGTAACTCTCACAAATCATTATCTTCTATCTCACCACCTTGTTTCCTTCCAAGAACTTGTTCCAATTACTATTTTATTTACTTATTTACTTTCTACCCCCCTCTCACCCACTGAAAGCTTCATGAGAGCAGAGATCATGCTTCTGTACTACCTTTAAGGAGATTTTCTCCTACCTGCAACAATTTTCTTAATAAAAATCTAATTATGTTGCTTTCATGCTCCCTGACACCTAAAATATGAAATATAACTCCTAGACACGAGGACACAATCATCTGGTCCCCACTGACCTCTTCAAGTCTATCTCAGTTGCTGAGTCCAAACTAAATCCTAACTTGAGTGCTACAGAAAAATGTTGCTCAATTAGTGTTTCCTGTCTTTCCATTTACCCTCAGTTCTCTGTAGGCTTCCTTTATCCTAATGGTGTTTGTAGGTGTGCATCAGTGTGTGCTTTCTTCTACTGGACAAGATGTCTTCACACTGTATCCTTGACACAAAGTCTGACACCAGTAATTACCCATCCAGTCACTGTTCATTAAATGAATTATTTCTGAATCACTTTCTCTTAGTTTCTTGTCATATGTTTCCACTGAACTCAGTTTTTCACTTAATTCTTTATTCACAAAATTGCATTAAAGAATGGCAATCAACTACTTTCTCTGTCAATTTACGACAATAAGTTGCCATACAAATAATGACAAAAAGGTTGCTCAGCTAGCCTATTCCACAAATCAGTTAACTGAATTTCTCTTGCTGGAGTTATACATACCAGGGTGGAGGCCTAGACTGTGCCTTTCCATAATTTTAACTTCATCTTGGTTTCTGATGCTTTTACTTCTTTTAAAAACCTATCAAAAATAGACCAGAAATAAACCTTTGCTGTCTGTTTGAGTCACATTTATTCCTAAAAGTCTAGTCTGAAGTTTTAGTTTACGTGAGGTAAATGGCCTGAAAATTTGGAGTCCCCAGATACAATTAGCACTGAAAGGAAGGATTCATTCATCTGAACATGTATTGAGTACTTACCACTTGCAAGAGATCATACAAGGCCCTGGGATTTTATAAGTGGTCTCTGCTTTCAAAGTGCTTATACATGAGCTCACTCACAGCTTACATATCTTCAGCATGATAATACTTTAAATACTTTAAAAAGAAGACAAAGAGAAGAAAGATTTGCAATTGGTAATTTTAAAATGATACTCCTCAAAGGAGCCTACTGAAAAACAAAAGGGCATAACAAGAGGAAATTAAAAGCACGTGCTGATTTTAGGGAATTCGTGGTCAGGCCCTCTTTCTGTATTTGGCTGTTCTGTATTAATGTTTACAAAGGCAGGATTTATTGGCTTCATCATCTGAGGTTTGGAGATCCTATTCTCCTAATCTTTCTTACCATGAAGCAAGGCCACGTGGAGCCACAAAGATTTGTTCCCTACCTTACTAATGAATGCTCACAGTGAGGCAAAGACATGTTTCAGCAACACTTCAGACTGCCCATTTTTAAGAAAAGCAAGATGAATATCAAATAGTTTTTTCATTAATGGGTTGTGGCTACCATTATTTAAAAAGTTGACTCTACAAAACATAAAAAAATGTTTTCTGCAGAAATAGTTTATGCTGCTCCCCCTAAAATGAGAGAACAGGCTTTACCAATACCTGTTCATCAAACCACTGCTTGAAAAATAACAATAAGAAGCTTAACATAATCTAAAAACATTTGTGCCATCTTTCAACTTGGAAATCACAAAATACTATATAAACTACATCCATTCTTAACTGCATAATTTTAAATAGAGGAAAAAAATTCTTTTTTCAGTATACCACAGCAAATATAGAACTAGTATGGGAAGTACATTTTCTATTGACCTAACCATATTGCTTCTCAATTAAGAAATCAGTAAATTAAAAATGGATACAAGATAACTAGTTTTTTTATTTCTCTAACAGAAACAAAGTAATATAAGAATTAAGGAAATCATTAATTCTGTTTTAAAAGTCTATTATTTAATTTGCTTTTAAATGTATGTTTAGTATATGTTTAGCCACTGGTGACAAATTAAACCCTCTATAAGCAGAGAAAATAACAGGTTATCACAATTGAAAGACTACACAGACTGCTTGAAGGTTCCTTAGATACTAATCAGAAATAGGCTGCAGAATCTCTTTATGAAGTATTAAATTTTTTCTGATTAATGTGCAACCCAAATTCATTTTTTATTATGCCAGTAAATAAGACATTTGATTTCAAAGTTTGCACTGTATTCCTTCCTCCTATTCAGATACTCCTTCTTTATTTAACATACATCTCTTGGTAGATGACAGGTACTATCCTAAGTGCTTTACAAATATTAACTGACTTTTTTATTGTGGGACTGGAGGAGGAAAGGGGGACTGCAGATGGGCACCAAAGATCTTTTGGAGATGATGGAATGACTGGATTGTAATGATTGCACAACTTTGTAAACTTACTAAAATAGAGATATAAAAGAAGCTAGGATTTGTAGAGAAATATCTGTTGGTTTGTGACCCTTTCTGTTTAGAAAAAATGCATTGTTAATGTCTCCAGCCTTGCTCTCCTACACCTTAGGAAACTAATTAGCAGGTTAGAACTTGGCCATAAGTAAAAACAAAAACCAAAACAGAAGATGGTTTTTTTGAGGTGTTATC